ATTTTTAAATTATTCTGATAATCTTTAAAATAAACTAATTTTTAATAATTTAGCTTTTTATGATTTAATTTATGGTTATTGCATTTCTGAATCATCTAATAATATAAATACTTTGCTTTTAAGAATACAAGAAATACATAATGGTTCAATAATTTTAGTTGATTAATCTACAATACAATAATCAAATGGTTCTGATTATAAAATATCAGTACAATTTAAACAAGTTGAAAAATAAAAATGTTTATTTTCTAATTTTTTATCTATTTCTGATAAATCTTTATAATGTTTAAAATCAAAAGAATATTTTTTATGAATTTCTTTTATTTTATCTTTTTCATTTTCATTTGATAATCTTAAAATCCAATCAGATTAATTTGGAAAAGTTTCAATAAAATCATTTATTTATTCATCCAAAACTTCATTATCAGCAGCACAAAATAATACTTTTTTATTTGTGTATCCTAATAAATATAATAAATGGCTTAACATTCTTCTTTTTCCATAATCTCCTTAAATTAAAGCAAAATCTTCTGATAATAAACATAATTAAATAGCTTTCAATTAATATTCATTCAAATTATTCTTAAATTTTTCTTTAAGAATTGAAAAAGCACATTTTTAATTATCATCCAATTCAGTGATTAATTTGAATTTTGGTTCCATTCCAAATATAAGAATTTCCTTTTTTCTCTAAAAAAATACTTTATTTGTTGCCAATTCAAATATAATAAATTTAAAATGTTTATAAGGATTCTTTTAAAATAATTTATGGATTAATTCATCGTTAATTTATAAAGCAGATGCTGATTCAGTTGAAGATTCATATTCCATAAAAATTTGTAATCTAATTGCAAAATCATAACTTTATTCTTCTTAATCTTTATCATCTGGATCTGTCTATTCTTCAATTAAATTAATTATCTAAGTTCCCTTAACTAATTAAGCATTTTAAAGAATGTATTTTTAGTTTTATTAAGTTCTTATACAAAAAAGATTTATTTTTTGTTTATCTAAAAAGCATTATTATAACATTTCATTTGCTTATTATTTAAAAAAAAAATTTTTTGATTGTAATATTATCTGTGTTCCAGTTTAATAATTTTATGTTCTTTAAATCCTATATGTTGCTTATGGAATAAGAGTGATTTATTCTTCTAGTCTTAAATTCCTCAACATTTCATTTAAATATTCTTTGGTTCTCGGTTGTAACTGTTCATTAACCTTATCATATTCAGGATTAACAACCGTTAATTCAGACTAATCTGTAAGTAAATGTAATCCATAACAAACTGATTTTAACTCACATTTTATGCATTTATTATTTAATTCTCTCTCGCTTTTAATTTCATCTTTCAAATCAGGAAGTTAACTATAACAATTTTAAGATTTTTCAAACCTATAGATCTCTGATATGTACAAATTCCTATTGAAAAATAAATTGTTTATTTCCAATTAATTGCAAGTTACAATTTAAAACTCTAACTTATTTAAATATAATAAAAAACCAATCTAACTTTCTTATTTATAATAATTATTCATTAATAACAAATAAGTTTGAACCTATATTTCATATTATTGTTTCTTTGCACCTGTTTTCAACTCTAAAGGAGCATAACAAATTTAAAATTCTTCATAATTCTTTCGAAATTTTACTTCTACTACAACATCCAGAAATCCTTTTAATCCATATAAAGATGATGAAATTAATTATTCATTATTAATCCATCTTAATATTTAAATTTCATATTTATCACGGCAATATTATTATTTATAATAAATTGGTTGCTACTTAATAATATGTTCATTAATCCATTTAAGACTATTAACACATCCTGGCAAGATAAATAAAATCATCTCCCTTATTGTTTTCTTTTCTAAATGATAGAATTCTTAAATAAACTATGAGTATAACTCATTAATTGGTTCTAAAAATGATCGAGGCATATTTTCCAATACTAGCTACTCAAGATTATTTTAGAGTTCCTCAAGTTATTGAATATTTTCGAATAATTAAGAAAATTTTTATGGGTTCTTTATGATATTTTAAAAAAATTCATGAATTACTTTACCACCAAGCATTTCAATTTTTGTTCCATAACATTAATTTTGAAAAAATTCTTTGATATACTATTACCTTTTACAATATCCCAAGCCATTAAATATTGACGGGGAAACAAGAGTTTCAGGCTCTAAAATAAATTAATTCTTATTATTCATTTTTAATGTGAAAATTATTATATTTGAATTAATAAAGTCACCACTTACTCTAATTTGCATACCTTTCTTAATTTAAAATAAATTGCTATAATGATCAAATAGAAAAATATAAATATTTTTTTGATCACTACAAAAGTCTGATTTTTCACTAGCCTAAATCAAAAGAAAATGACTATTTGATTATTTTTAAGCTTTCTTAATAATAGAAAGGATATGATCATCAATATCAATATATTTTGAATCCAAAATATCCTTAATAATTAAGTTGTAATTTTAATTTGTAATTTAATCTTCATTATTAAGTGAGTTTGCTTTATTAATATTTTAAGGTTTCGTTTCTTATATTTTTTTGGTTGGCCTATTCTATTCAAATTAGGTCTCTCTAAGTTCTAAATCTTAGTTCGATAGGTTCCCAAACATTTATGGAAAACAATTATTTAATTAATAATGCGCCTAAAAATTTAAACTGATTTATTTACAAAGTTTTGTATAACAAATACGACAAAAAATAAAAAGGATTTTTGCTAGAAAATAATAATACTTAGGTAATTAAATAATATTATTTCAAAACTTGAGTGATAAGGGGTTATGAATAGCTTGAAATTCTTTGAACAAAATTTTAGTACTCTATATTGATATCGAATATTGGAATAGGCATTTTTTCATTTTAAATAAAATCATATTTTTTCAATAAATTTTCTATTCAAATCAAACAATAATAAATGAGGAATTTATAAATAAATTATAAAACTATATAAATACAAAAACTTAATAAATAGACTAAAAAATTAAATAGGAAGGGTGAAAAAGAAAATTTTGTAAGGTAAGAAAGAAAATTGAATAAATATAATACTTAACTTTAAAACATCAAAAATTAACAATTTACATCAAAAAGTTTAGAATTATTTGTACAATACCTTATTTAAAAAGAAATGATTGATAAAATAAATAGTGAAGATGAATTTAAATTTTGATTTTTTAAAATGTTCACAAAACCTAATTTATTTCTTAATCTAAATTTACAAGACATCCTTATTTTTAAATTATTCTGATAATCTTTAAAATAAACTAATTTTTAATAATTTAGCTTTTTATGATTTAATTTATGGTTATTGCATTTCTGAATCATCTAATAATATAAATACTTTGCTTTTAAGAATACAAGAAATACATAATGGTTCAATAATTTTAGTTGATTAATCTACAATACAATAATCAAATGGTTCTGATTATAAAATATCAGTACAATTTAAACAAGTTGAAAAATAAAAATGTTTATTTTCTAATTTTTTATCTATTTCTGATAAATCTTTATAATGTTTAAAATCAAAAGAATATTTTTTATGAATTTCTTTTATTTTATCTTTTTCATTTTCATTTGATAATCTTAAAATCCAATCAGATTAATTTGGAAAAGTTTCAATAAAATCATTTATTTATTCATCCAAAACTTCATTATCAGCAGCACAAAATAATACTTTTTTATTTGTGTATCCTAATAAATATAATAAATGGCTTAACATTCTTCTTTTTCCATAATCTCCTTAAATTAAAGCAAAATCTTCTGATAATAAACATAATTAAATAGCTTTCAATTAATATTCATTCAA